TCCAGTCCCTTTATCATCCTTGTTACTCTCCTCTGGACTCTTTCTAGGAGTTCCTCATCTTTCTTGAACCGGGGAGCCCAGAACTGGACACAGTACTCCAGGTAGGGTCTCACCAGGGCAGAGTAGAGGGGGAGGAGAACCTCCCTCGACCTGCTGGCCACACTCCTCTTCATTAGGCTAGGATGGAATGGAATGGAATAGGATGGAACAGAATAGGATGGAACAGAACAGAAGGTGTTGTATATACATAGTGGGTACACAGCACCTGTAGGTATGTGTCATTACGTACAGCAGAACGCCTCACCTCTGCACGCACACAGTGCCTGGGCACCCCAAGCTGGGTACAGCCCCGAGGCAAGGGCTGCAAACTCACCCACCGGAGGTGGCAGGGATGGAGGACAGCAGGGTGTGCTCCGAGATGGGCACACGGGTCCCTGGGCTGGCATCGCCACCACCAGCTGGCTGGTGCCATATGGGAACCAAGGCACCGAGCAGGGGCCGGGGAATCACAGAATCGTTTAGGTTGGGAAAGACCTTTAGGGTCATCAAGTCCAACCGTTAACCTAACCCTGCCATTAAGCGCTGTCAGTGCCGCTGCCGCCTGCTGGCAGAGCTGCTTATTAAAAAAAAAATAAAATAAAGAAAAAAAACCAGCCCAAACCTGCAGCAGCACTTTTTTTTTTTTTTTTTTTAAAAAAAGGGAATATAAGCTTCTCCATGAGAAGCATTTTGGTAGTAAGGTGCTCCTGGAGCATCTAAGGTGCCCCTAGAGCTGCAGCAAAGCTAGAGCCGGCAGCCCCTCTGCCCTGAGGGTGCCAGCGGATGGTGCTCACCTCTGCAGGGAAGTAAAATGTCCTTGCAAGATCCTGCCGAACCCGAGCAAGGGCCCGCGAGGATGGGGATTTCCAGGCCTCCAGGCAGGTCTGGACAAGGAAACCCTTGCACACCCTTGCACACCCTTGCACACTCTCGCTTCCCTCCTCCCTGCCCTGCTGCCTGCCAGCTGAGTACACCTGGCTGGAGACATCCAAAATCTTCTCCATCTGTGCCAGGACAAGCTAAGCCCTTTGGAAAGAGGGTGTATCGGATGTTTGGGTTAAAACTATTCCTCTTACACCAAAAGCTCATCCAGCCCGAGCTCAGATCTCAGCATTGCCCTCCTCCACCAACCCCAAAGTGGCTCCTGGGCGCCAGCAGGGTAGGGAGTCACCCTTTGTGTGTCTGCCCAGGGCACACGTGACAAAAAAAAAGATAAGCTCCATAAATAAGTGCAAGTATATAAGTAAACATAGTCTCAAAATGCCGTCCCTGGTGCCTTTGAAGTGCTCAGCTCCCATGTCCTCCCATCCTGGGTATGAAGGAGCCGGGTGCGGCATCAGGAGCCCCCAGCGCTGCCCCTCTCCCCCACGCATCCAGCCACAGCCCCCAGCCGCCGCCGCCTCCTGCCAGCCCCACGCTGCCAAACAGCTCTGGAAAACCCCTATCCCCAGGAGAACATTTGTGCCAAGCTCGCGGGAACAAGCTATAATGCTCGGGCTGCAAAGGGCGCTTGTAAAACTGTGGTCAAAACCCGACCAAATAAAAAACCATTTCATGTGAAACACTGGAAAAGCAACAGAGATAAGGTACAGTTTAGGCAGAGATGAAAATGCCAGTGAAGGAAATCCCCCTTGCAAGCAACACCCTGCCGCCAGGCCAGGCACTGGCAAGTCCAGCCTGGAACAAACTAAAGGGGGCGGAAAAAGTTCATGGAACAACGGCAAGAGCTTGAATGTGACGGTAAGTGCCCACAATAGGATACAATGGAGAGAAAATGGGGGGGCGGAAAAAAGCAAAGCAGAAGAGAACTGAGAAACAGAAGATGTCCATGTGATGCAGAGGG